CTTATTTAGCGGATTTTGTTTTTTAATATTGTTATTTTTAGCAGAAAGTGCTTTAAATCTGATGATATGAGTTTCTCTGACAGGGTTTGAGTGTTTGATCTGATTGTTTAAAGCGAGTTCCCGTCTCTCTGACCCTGTCACCCATGACCCCGTGACCCTGTGACCTCTTTATTTCCAGGTCCGCTAAATACAGTATTGTGTTTAAAATCCGTTTCCTGCGCTCGTTTCTCCCGCCGCGTCTCTGCGGGGGTTTTCTGCAGGATATTTTTGTTCCAGCTTTTGTTTGGACTGAAGCGGTTTATTTTTAGGACTGTAACTCTGTCACTCTATTGTTTGGCCGTTTTATGGATGGATATATGATTTGGCCCGTAACCTTGAGATCACACACACATAGATAAATTTATTTTTATCACAAATTTGAATTTAAAATGTATCTAAACATAATTGCATAAATATAAAACATATCACATGTTTTGCTTACTACGTCATTCCCAGACTTACTGCAAAAATGTATTTTCTTACTCTGTATTTTTGTCTTCAGTGTCATCCAACAACCAACCTATTGACGTTTTAACTTGATGTTTTTATGTGTATTATTTATGATTTTATTTTTACCTTTAACATTTTTATTATTTATTTTGTTTTATCTTTTAATACTTTTAATATTTTTATTTTTTATTTATACTTTTTATTTTTAAATATTTTTATTGTTTATTTTATGCTTATCATTGATATTATTTTATTTATTATTTATTCGATTTTTCTTTAATATTTTTATTATTTATTTTATTTTATCTTTCGTATTTTATAGTTTTTTTTATGCTCATCTTAGATATTTTTATTATTTATTGTTTATTTTATGTTTAATATCTGCCAGTGGGTCAGAAAAAATAAATAATAATAAATAAAAATAAATAAACAAGATTATTTTTATGGCCACACTGACAGATATTTGTTCTTGTTTTAAGCAAAACATCACTTAATTTTAATACTTTTTTCAGAAAATAAGACTTAATATCATAAGTCATTTTGCTTCTCAAGTCATTGTCTCTTGATTAAGAATGCTTAGATATTTATACTGGAAAACAAGACAAAAATACTAAGTACAAAAATCATTTTTGTAGAATTTTCATCAATTCATTACTCTGAATTATGTAAGATAAGCGTTATAAAGAAGGAGTAGATGTTTCTAGTCTACGGTTTGAAGCTCTGAGCGTCTGTGTAGAAATAAAGCATCTTAATTCAATAGAGTCAGCAGGAAGCAATTTACTCTCTTTCTTTGAAAGTGCTTTGCTAATTTGGCCTGGTTTTTTGTAGTTCAGAGGAATTTGCTAAAACCAGGTCTGGTGTTCTCGTCACAGATGTCACGAGATCCTGGACCACCTCAGAGCCTCACTACCATCCTTCAGAGGAGCCATATTTCATAGCATTTATTTTTCATTTAGATGCACATATAACGTAAGTCAGAGTTTCATGCATAACTCATATTTTCCAGCCATTAAACAGGGTTTGCTGCTGTACCTTCAAAGACTTTATGTAAATGAGTTTTTGTGTGTGTGTGTGTGTGTGTGCTGAAAGCTGCTGTCAGTAGGCCGTCTGGTCCTCATCTCTCTCCTCACACACACACAGCTTCACAAAAGAGCTCTGTGGCAAATAAACACCATCAGTCTTCTAAGGTCTCGGTTAACGACTAACACTTAATTAACTACAAGACTGAGAGTCTGCAGGAACTCCACCAGAATGAGTTTCCCACAATCACTCGGCCAGAAATGAGCATCCTGTCATCATTTACGCCTAAACACGAGAGTCCTTCTCGTAGAACACAAAAGGAGACTTTAGCTGAATGTCCAGACTGATCTTTAAGAGACAATGAGGTGGAAAAGCATGAAAATGAAGTATTAAATAATAATAGTGCATAAGTAATATGTTGTTATTTAAACGAATGCTATTAAAAATCAATAAATTGTAAAATTAAATAAAATAGAACTATTAGATGAAAAACATAAATAAAAATTAGGAAATGTTGCCTGAATGAAATACATAATAAATAAATAAAAAAGTTAAAGCTAAATCGAACTATTAAAAGTAATTAAATAAAATAGATAAATAAAATGAAACAGAAATATTAGATGAAAAACTGAAAATTAGAAATATTACCTTGGCAAAATAACTGAAAATAAATCAGTTTAAAAAAATAAAATAAAACTGAAATAAAATTAATTCAAAGCTAATTAGAAATAAACAACTAATAAAAAAGACAATAAATGTTAAATAAAATACAACAGAAAAATTCGATGAAAAACATAAATGAAAATTAAAAATGTTGCCTTGACAACTAACTGGAGTACGTAAGTTTAAGTTGAAGTACTAAAATTACTAAAACCGAAATAAAAAATAAAGTTCAATAGAAATATATCGTTTTTTTATTTAATTTAAAAAGTCATATTGTTCAATAAAATAGAAATATTAGATGAGAAACAAAAACCTGAATAATAAAATTTTTATTTATTCAAAGAATAATTAAATAAAAATAAATAATTGTGAAATATATTGAAATATATTTAAGTTGAAGTCCCAAAATTACTAAAACTAAAACTGGAATAAAAAATAAATCAAAACTATATAGAAATTTAAAAATAACAATAAAAAAGCACAAAAAAGTAAATAAAGACTGAATATATATATATATATATATATATATATATAAAGCTAATTCAAAATATAAATAAATAATAATGTGACTAATTCTAAAATAACACTACTATGGACAACAATTATAATATTTTTACAGTCATTTTTTGTTGTTTTTGGAGCCAGACAGACCCTGATATGAAAAAAAAAGTGTTTGGGAAATACTGATAAAAATCTCATTTTGTGCTTCTTAGATGAAAACATGAGGAATGACAGAGAGGAATGAGTTTGAGTGACTGCTGATGGAATTGAGGGATATTTTGGGTGAATTATTAATATAAACAAAACTAAAATTCCATCAGAATCTCCCTTCATTCATAAAATCCTCCAGCACATGCATGTTTGTTTATAAAGGATTTGAATGAATTTACCAATACTTTCTAGTCCTCTTTGCTCCGTTTAACCAGGTTTTTAATTTGACCATCCACAGAATATTCCATCGGTTTCTCAGCAGTTCACTTCCTCTTTTAAATCTAAAACCTTTATTAAATATGTCCTGATGAGACGCGAGCTCCTCCTTCCGTCTTTCTGCCACGTTTTCTGATATTTGCATCCAGCCACCGGGAGACAAAGGCATCCCAGCGCCGCTCCGTCACCGGATTAACCGGAATTACAGAGAGAGAGAGACGCGCGGATCTCCAATTGTGTCCTTAAAACAAAAACAGAGCGAGAGAGTTGGAAGCAAACTTGT